GATAACATTGTTTCGTTCACCTTTTGGCTGTATTCATTATCGAGATGCGCATGCCTTACCTGCAGTTGGCGTTTCTTACGCTAGTTAGTATTTCAAATTGCAGACAACTGAAGGAAAGTAAGAAAAAACAGAGCTTAAACAGTGGACATTCAGTTATTTTATCATTCTATGATATAATCGGTTGGTTATTTCAAATATATGCTGATATGCCAAATGTTTCATCAATTTTTGCTCTCGATTATTAGTAAACTGAATCATTTTCTGATAAATCGTTCTACAAAGCGTTTTTTTCTCCCGACTATCCTACCCTCCAGTGTAAACTGTTTTTATTGTTATAGTTACTGTACGGATAATATATCCTGAAACTCGCCATTCTTTAATAATGGACAAACTCCTCTGGAAATATTCTTTGGATTGTGAAGAATGGTTTTAACCTAGGATATCTCGATTCTCTCCACTCTGAATTTTTTACTTCCCAATTTTTTCAGTCACTGTTACACAACTCTCTATACTCAATCCAGTACGTATCTATAAGTTAGCCATGCAACAGAAAGTACCATTATCTATTGTAGCTATTTATGGGTGCAAGATCATAATAATTGCATAACTTCCATTACTCAATTGATAAATCTACTTCTTTATCAATCTCCTTCTTCACCATTTATGCTATATTTCACCGGATAGAAATTATCGTTGATATAGAAATGGAAAAAGCAATTAGTCTATCTCTCACATGTTTCGTCGAATATATAATGCAGTATTGATTTTCTCGTGTTTTCAAATGAATCTGTTCACATCCTTCTGTTTTTTCCGCACCGAGTTTTCCGTATCGAGTAGAAATTAGAGGACGAATAAATTTACGCATTTTCCGGACACTTGCTTATTGCGAAATATACCTGATAATCTTCTGTACGTGTATAACAGGCAGTGCCTTATAATGACACACATCATACTAGCTTTTCTATTCCAGTTCATTTATTCATTTATAGGAAAATATGCCTTTTATCACACTACTAATTGTGTTATTATTTAATCAGAAGTATACTCAAGATAATCTTCTATATGGAATGATATCCCACGAAGGCATCTTCGCAACGAATGTATCCTCTAGCAATACTACCTCTTCTTCACATTCAAGAATCACCAACCGATAAAAGAACACGACTGCAAATGGTTAGCGAACGTCGATATAAACAATATAATCAAAAAATATGCAGCTAGCATTTTGCTGATATTATCTATTCAGTGAAATGTGATGTTCATTCGTTTAAAATGAGTTCACGGTTATTTTTTTATAAAATAACCCAATTGTAGTTATTAAAACAAATGTTAAAATGATAATTTCTAAACGATTGGGTAAATGTCATTTTTAAAACTTTCAGAACTAGAAAAAATTGCAAAATAGTTTTTTTTTTGTTAACAGGTTGCTTGGTCAGCTCACATCATTCACTTCAGTGACAACTAATTATATTCTGCGAAAATGAAAAAGTATATATAGCACTTGCAATGTTTTAAAGAAGATTTAGGTGAAGTGCTGCGAGAACTGACCACGTACTGCCCCTCTCACCTACCCGAGAACGGAAAGGATATATCAATTTTTCATTATGCACGGCAACATCGACTCCGCCTGCGATTGTTTGTTCGGAAAGTGACAGATAATAGTGCATGAAATAGAGAAGGTGCCAGAGTATGCCTGATAGAGTGATATGATGTGTTGTATGGAAGTGAAGGATAATCAGAGAGTGATGAGATGGACGAAATAGTGTTATGCGAGATTGAGAGAAGAGTAGTAAGGAAATGGAGAGCAACACAGTACAGGTGTTCAAGCAGCTCTCTCAGGGAGAAATCGAGAGTGGTAGGGGGTGGGATCTATCATTTCACGAATCTTCCAATGCGGCAGTACAGTGCATTTTGCGACAAATAGGAAATCCAATAATACCTTGTCTCGATATGTTATCTGAATGTGACATTGAATGAACTGATTTCCTCTATCATTGATGTAATTTTATACTCGTTTACTAAGTATAAAATTAGTTTCGTTTTTTTTTTTACTCTTTGGCTTTATGGGCTTTAGAGAGGTGCTTCATGCGCTCTTGCAGCTCCATCATTTGTTTTGTTCGCTAATCTTGGATAAAAGAAAAGAAATGTGTGATTAAAATTAACAGATGACAAATGTAGAATGAAAGCTGACGGAAGATAGGTTTTGAGTGAAAAGTATTGTCATATTCTGTACAATCTTTGATTACCATAATTTCATTTTAAAATAAACGAATTCTTCTTGTTCGTTGATATTTTATGATAATATTAGAATGATCTTCCAGACATTTGTTATTCACCTTTACGAAATCGTTCGAGCACAGGGAACATAAAATCTGAAATCTATATTTCAACTTAATGATGAAGTATACAGTAAAGTGATATTTTTTTGATGGCGTTAATGTATATATCTCTCTGGTCGATTGGGCACTTTTAATTGTAATGATGATGGTTGTTCACTGACGTAAAAATTGTTTATTTTTTCTCTTGAAATAAGCGTTCATGTGTTTCAGGATGGTTTGTCCATCGTCGGCTGTAGTCGTAGCTCGTCGGCAATGTCAGCCATCTCTGATAGTTAAAACAGTACGATATATAACAAATGGCAATGGAAGTATTAATGATTCGGGTTCAGATGCAGATGATTGCGAAAATAACAACAGCATCGGCGAACATATTGTATTTCGACAACGTATGCCATCAATTTTCTTGACTGGTAGACATCTTACAACAAGATGGAATATCTGGCGTACTTCCTCCAACAACCGTTGTGATGAGTGCGGCAAGCCACTAAAAAACATACCATCATCGACACGTGAGTAGTAGTGTTTATTAAAGTAGAGTTGAATATTCGGTATGAATACACCTGCTAATCCTGAATGATGTAATGATTAAGATTTCTATTCTTGGTACTATGTATTCATTAGTGCTGTTATATTAAAATTTTGCTGGCTTAGTTATTTTTAAGTATAATCAGTTGCAAGTAGATTAGTCTAAGACATGTCTATTTGCATTTGACACAGCTTTTATACTTTCAATGAATATTTCTTCTCTCTATTCGTTTAGCGAGCTCACGTTATCTGATTTGTGAAAATTGTCGGCGGTTGTTTAGCTGTGGTCCGTTAGATGATGATGAGAAGGGAAGCATTTTGAAAGCAAGTGAAGCAGACAAGAAACCACCGTATCCAAAAGAGGTTACGTTTTTATTATTTGCAATCCATTTTATCAGATCGTAACATATATGATTTGAAATAGCTCAAATTTATGTAAGCTGGTTAACAATTTTTCAGATTTATAATTTCCTGAATAAGTATATTATTGGTCAAGAACAAGCGAAGAAAACACTCTCAGTTGGAGTTTATCAACATTACCTACGTCTTTATCATAATATTGAGAATAATATTGGTTCACCAGCCATCAGTAATGTGGAAGGAAATCGGCCACGTACAGCAGCATCTTCGCCTGGTGTGTTGTATCAGGAAGATTACAATAGAACTGGCCGTGCTGACATTCGTTTTTTCTCAGAAACATCGGCATCTCAACAAAAACATCGAGTTGTTTCACCAGTATTTCGTCCACTTCCGGAAAACAACGTTCCAATTCGACTAGAAAAGTCTAATATTCTGCTACTCGGTCCGTCTGGTGTTGGTAAAACTTTTATCACCCAAACACTGGCCCGTATTCTGGATGTGCCGATTGCACTATGTGATTGTACTTCTATGACTCAGGCCGGGTAAAGTTTTTTTGTTCTTTACTACATTTAAATTTTCAGTATTACGCAGAACATTCTCGTTCTCTGATTGGATGAGGGGAGAAGAAAAACAGATTTGTCTAAAATAGATTTGAGAAAAAAATAAAAAAATGGAATATTGAAACAGTGAAATCACATAAATAGGGATTTTAAGGAACTTGATTCATGAAGACAAACTGTAGATGAGGAAATGCCTGTAGTTTTACCTAAATCTAAAGATGAAATTATTATGAGAATGGAACTATTGCATAGAATATAGAAGCAAATTTTTTTAGTTAAACTTTGAATCAAATTACCGAGTGGATGGAAATCATAAAAATGAAGATGTGTAGATAAGTGTGGATCGTTTTTGTAGTTATGTCGGCGAAGATGTGGAGAGTGTTGTGCAGAAACTTGTGCAGAATGCGGGCGGTAATGTGGAACGTGCACAGCAAGGAATCGTTTTCTTGGACGAGATAGACAAAATAGCTGCAGCACATAATGTGCAGTCTCATGCATTCAGAGATGTCAGTGGTGAAGGCGTACAACATGCGTTGCTCAAATTAGTAGAAGGTGAATTTATTTCTGGCATCATATCAATATGTGAATTATTTCATTGCTTTACTTAGCTATTTGGAAAAGGTCCAAGAAAAAGTTTTCCGAATTTTTACAACAATCTGTTGATTGCGCTCATCTGAAAGAAATAGTTTTCTTTCAGATCAGCGCAATAGTTTTTTTCCAAATGTTAACCATGCTAGGAAAAATAACGCTGTATAGATGGATTTTATTCTCTGGCCAGAGTTGCAGGAACATTGGTTAATGTGAAGAGCAGCCGTAAGTCAATGACTACGCAACAAGATTTCGTTCAAGTTGACACAACGGATATCCTGTTTGTCGCATCAGGCGCGTTCACCGCTTTGGACCGTATAGTTGGCAAACGGCTTGATAAGAAGACACTTGGTTTAGGTTATTTTCATTAATTAATTCATATGTTTTCGTCAGTTAGATGTTGGTGAAATCCACAAAAAAATTAATCATATTTATTATACAGGATTCTGAGATTTTTATTTGATACTCATTCCGATGTTTCAGGTGCAAAATCAGGAATGCAACGAATAACTGATGATGATAAATTAGAAGAAGCAATCTCGAAAAAGCGAGACGATCTTTTACGACAAGCGGATCAGGGAGATCTTATAAATTTTGGCATTGTACCAGAACTTGTTGGGCGTTTTCCAGTCATTGTGCCTTTTCACAGTTTGGATAAGGTATTCTTCTTCATCTGTATTAGATTTTTTCGCGTTTTTTTCTTGAAATACAATTTTTCGAATCATGTTTGTTACATGAATTCCCCGCTTCTATAATGTGTAGTCTGATAATATGAAAAAATGTCTTATCTTCATTACACTAATTGCTAAAATAGTAATTGCAGGGCATGCTGGTTAGGGTATTAACTGAACCAACAAATTCACTACTGGCTCAGAAGAAACTTGAATTTGCCATGGACGGTGTAGATCTTTCGTTTTCCTCCGATGCGCTTGATGAGATTGCTGCGCTTGCACTAGAACGTAAAACGGGTGCACGTGCATTACGTTCTATTGTGGAAAAGGTTTGCTAATTGTTCGTATTACAGCGTCATAAAATGCTTATTATGAGTTTCATATGGGAATATTTACTTACAATTATTAAATAAGCAGGTGTTACTGGAAGCGAAGTTTATGGTACCGGGAAGTGATATTGAAAGCGTTCACATAAACAGGGAGTGTGTGAAGGGCAAAGCTGATTATGTATATACGCGACGTGCGCAGAAGGCTACAGGTTAACAATGATATATTCCTCTGGAGAGCGATCAATTTAAATATTATTGTAATCTGTGGTATTGTTAACTTCATTTAACAAGATTCTGAGCAAATAACAGGACAAATAAAAGGACAATGCATAGGGGTAGAGTCGAAATATACCCCAATCTTTCACATTCCTAGGATCTAATTAGCATTTAATAGTGATATTCGTTGAAAAGCGTTCTGTGTTATGTAAACAATATCTGCAAGGTTTGATTTTCTGATTTCCTTGTTTTTACATTTATGTTTTTTCTCAGTTTCATTTTATATTCTCCATACCATATTTTTACATATTTTTCATATCACTGTGTAATGCGGAGTGTTTTCATAAAACAAATCTATTCGAGGTATTTATTAATTTTACGAAGTTTATGATATGAAAACATTTTTGAATAAAATGTATTGGTCCCATCCCACTGTCCTTTAACTTAGCGCCATCAATATTTGGAGAAGATTGGATGGAGCAGTTGTTAAACTGGATTGGTGAAGATTTCATTATGATAATGGCGAACTGAAGAAATGAGATCTCCTATTAATCAACGTGGAAGTGTAAAATCTCGAATTCGTTCTTCAACAGTAGGGGTGAAAAAGTGAGACAGGGAGCATTGCTTACCAGACAAGTAGAAAGAAGACGTGCTATATTCAACAAGGTGGGTGGTCTTAAGGTATGTGTTACTGAAAGTCTTATTTTTGAAAAATACGTTAAAAGATTAAAAAAAACAGCTATCATTTGGAGATATAAAATTTGCTGTAGGTATCTGATAAATACTGGCAAAATATTTGAATGAGTGCATTATTTAAGAGAACTGCAAAGATTTTAATCTCATCTTCTGTAGCACTAGAACAAACGTGTGATAGCACTAAGAATTTTTTATTGCACATTATATTATATCACATTATGCAAAATTAATCCTTTCTACATCCATGTCTACAGCGATAAATAATTGAAAAGAAAATAAGTTGATCGGTTAACATGTCCTAAGGATTTTTTCTAGCATTCGAAATAATTTCTCAGTATCATTATCCATAAATACTCGATCCTTCGAACCAGCGATTTTTATTAGTTCTTCTTCACTGACTGGATGCTGGAAATGAATGAATTATCTGTTGTTATTCACTGCCAAAATTTGATTAGCATTATCAATTGAAACATTTGAAAGATTTACTTCGATGAAAGAACATATTAAAAATCTTAAATAGAATAGAAGGGGTAATTAGCTAATAATTTATATGTGACATTGAATTAAGGAAATATTCAAAAACCATTTTTTAAAAAAATGGAACAGTATTGATTAAATAAATGAACTTATGTGATCTCCTTAATTTATTATCCATTCATTCTATTAGATATCAATTAATTGCTCTTTTTTTCTAATTTATGAAAAGAGATTTCCAACCCACATAACATCATTTCGTATAATTAGTTAATGCAGTAAAAAGGTTGAGGAAAAATTGATTGACTTACCTGGCTGCTAACAGCAACAGCAAATATATTAGGTATTAGATTCCTTAATGAAGTAGTTGCTTGCGTAATATCTTTTTGTCCGAAACCATCGGTAAATATAATCACAAAAGGTGTTGCTTGTTGTGGTCTTGCACCATTCTCTGATGAATATTCCTTTATTGCCTACAATAAATTGAGACAACAAATGAAATATTTCATTAAAGGAAATTGGAAAATAATAATAATGCAAATTTCGATTTAAACATTAAGCTACTAGAAATAGCTTATAGAGAACCTGTAAGAGTGCAGCATGTGTAGCTGTAATTCCACTGCTAAAACGAATCTCCTGAAGTGCTTGCAATACTTTTTCTTTCTCTTGCGGCTTATCAAATGACCAGACTGTTTTTACTTTTTCTTTTGCTGCAAATTTAATAATTGCTACACGTGCATTTTCTGGACCTATTCGAAGTCGATTTATTATTTCGGCAGCAAGTTCCTTCTCACGATTGAATGCCTTCTCCACAGATCCGGATGAATCGATGAGCATAATTGCATCAATTTTACAACCTGCATTTAAATTCATGAATGCAATCACAATAATGTACACACATCATAACCTGACATGTAGTTCATGTTTTTAAAGAGAGAGAGAGAGAGAGAGAGAAAGGGAGAGAAAAAAAAACTAACCAGGTGTGAAAATAGTGGTGGTACGTGGTGCAAGAGTGGTATTTTTAAGTTGACGACGAGAACTGAAAGTTGGAGTTGTTTGAGTAGTTCGTAGTTTAGAACTTTTTGATATTTCTTTTAGCTGTTTTTCCTTCCTATTTTTCCCATTTGATAATGTTTCATTCTTTCTCATCATTTTATTTATTGCTCGAACGGACTGTTCTTTTGCATTCACCTTTCTATTTACAGATTTTTTTGTTGGCCGTGGAATATGAGTGGTAGTAATCGTTTTTTTCTTCATGATAACCTAAACTTTGAATTCACATTTTAAATAGAAATGTTCAAGGAAAGTTTGAATCAAAAAAGAATTTTCCACAATGGAAAACTATTCCATAAATTTAACACTTAGCTCAAACCTTTTCATCCTCGAACTGTTGCGAATTGCTCTCCAATTTACTAGCAATGTCTTTTTTTCGTTGTTCATTCTGCTTGCTACGTCGAGAACTACTACGAATAGTAGTAGTATTAGTAGTAGTAACAGTAGCACTAGTGGTAGTACTAGTAGTAGGAGTAGGAATAGCAGTAGTAATAGTAGTGGTAGTGGTAACTGTAGAAAATTGAATAGAACGTGGTGACATCTAAAATATTACAAAATTAGAAATATTATCATAAAAACAAGAACAAGCAGTTCTCATAGTCAGCTAAGAGAAAGGAAAAAAATAACTAATGAGTGTTAAAATTAGAAAGCCTAAATTTACTTCTTCCGGCGAATTTTTACCAGCAAGAAATAGTACCTGTTGCTAAGTTCATCTGCTAGTGTTTCTTTTTATTTTAAAACTCTTAGAAAGTATTGTGAAAAAATCGTAAAAAAAATACCCGAATACATCGCGCTTTATCAACAGCCTCAGCAGCATTAAGTATAACTCTGGCGAATTCAGCATTGCGATCATAATTAAAAATATTATCTGTTGAGCCTGTATATCTCGATAATATGTCCACATCCATCGATTTACCACTATCCACTGCATATTTGCTAAGATTTCTTGTCTGTAATACAATCTTTCATTCCAATTAACTGTATTATGCTTTATCAATTCAAAATTTAGAAAAAATAGCAATAGTAAAGGAAATTTAAACAGTCTAATAGGAGACGATTGTTACAATGAAATAATAAGCAAAGAAGCAGGTCCCGGGGAGATTCGAACTCCCGTCGCAGGATTCAAAGTCCTGAGTGCTAACCACTACACCACGGGACCATACGGATTCTACTGTCAAATTATGGGACGTGTGATATCTTCTTATTTTTATTAAGTTTTGTTATTTTTAAAAAATTAAGAAAAAATTTTCATATTTTACAGTGTAAGCTTGTCCTTGGTCTACCTTCGAAGGATATACGACATTACTGAGTATACTAATCAACAACTATCATTCTAATGTAAAACTGCTAAATTTCATCATATGATAGTGACATTGAAATTGTATTTGAGATACTAACCGATCAATAGATCAGATACTATTTTCCATCTTTATGTAATTACTAATTAATAGTACTGGAGCCGTGGCATTGAAATATCATGTCACAATTTGTCATTTGTCCCACCTATTATTAGTAATTTGTTAGCATGTTGTAATTATTGTAATTATTGCGCAACTATGAAAAAAGCATTCGGAAATATTTTCTCCAATTCTGGCTGATTTACCTGCATGCTATTCCTTACACAAAATTGGCTAATTCTACACTTTTCAAACATATATGTTTAATCTGTAATGTCAAGATGTTCGCCCAGCCGTATATATCACTTAGCACGGCATGAAGTAATAATTGCGTATTTGCATATTTCAGAAGAAGGTATGGGGGATACGATAGTATCAAATTTTGTTATCACACCATTAATTTTCTGGAAATAAGCTTGTCGAAAAGTCGCGAACAGGTCACTCCATAGCAAACGGAAGACCAGGTCCCGGGGAGATTTGAACTCCCGTCGCAGGATTCAGAGTCCTGAGTGCTAACCACTACACCACGGGACCGCACGACTATCTCTGTGGATTATTTTACATTACGACAATTTTTTAAGTTTTATTCTCAGATATTTTTTGAGACAGCGAGAGAGAGAGAGAGAGCGAGAAAGAGAGGGAGAGAAAGAAAGAGTTTTTAAAAATATATAATACACGCTATCATCCGATTTTTTTGTTGGAAAAGCAAAAGATAAACTTACGGTACGTAAATTCTCGATAGCATTGTTACGTTCCTTTTCGCTATCATCCGATAGTCCATCACCCACAATAACAAATATACCACGTACATCCTTTGTGTATCTTTTATTGTACTCTCTGTATGTTAAACAATTAATATTTCCCGTTTTTTCTCAATATTTAAAATATTTCAACTATGAATGAATTTATATGCTTGAAAAATTATTTTTAAAAAAAAAAACAAAAGAAAAAGAAGAAAAACTGACCGAATAGCGAAATTGATAGCCTTAGCATAGGATGATTTGCTAATTTTAGGCGTGATTGATTCAACTTTTGTGAAGATACTATCCCTATCCTTCAAATCTTTCATATTAACAACCAATTCCGGTTGATTGTTGAATGCTATCACAGTGATTTTCACTCGATCGCTATGTTCTGTTATTGGTATTGAACCTACAAGGAATCATAACATGTAGAAGGTTAAACGAAATCTGAGCGATCGTTGTTGAATATTCAGGAATGACAGGATTTGAAATGAAAAAAAAAAAGAACTATGACTTACCGAGTACATCTAATAAGAGATAACGATTGGATGAGATGGATTGTTCACTTAGATTAGCTTTTTTAATAGCATTATCAAAGAAAATAATGATATCCAAATTAAGAGTGCTACAGATTTGATCATCAAAATTACTGGATGATATTTTTGTATTTTCCAAATTTACAACAGCAGTTGGTATGCTACAATCCTGTCCACCAGTAAGCAATGAGACTACATCCATTAGGAATCTGAAATGAATTTCATTAGACAAACGATTCAATTATTAAAATGTAAGAAGACAAATGAAAAATGATATGTAACCTTTCGGTGGAATTATCTCTGTAAATACGATCTGTACTACCAATGTAATGTTTTAATTCACGCAAATCAATATTCTCTCCCAGAGCTACACCAAATAATTCTGCACCGGTAGCTCTGAGAAGTTGGCTTGCTTCAAGTACCTTCTCCCATGGATCCTGCGACATTCCATCATTCATCAACACAACAACCTAAAGTTAAATTTAACTTTAATATAATTACAATCTTTTAGCTATGTAAAATATATTTTTATAATAGCTGTGAAACTATGAAGCTGTGATAGCTTTGAAGCTATCAAAGAAACAATGAATTTTTTCAATTTACAAATATTGAATTGCTAATACTTGTATAGCATCCGGTCTTCTTCCACGTTCCAAATCCTGCACCGATAATTCGATCGCTTGCGCAGTAAACGTACTTCCACCGTTATATTTGATATCCTCAATAGCATGGCGCACCATCTATAACCAAATAAAAATGAAACTGTCACAGTATTGCATACATTTTTCTCATGTAGAAAGTATGATTATAGTAGCTGTTGAGAAGTTACTGTAAACTTGAGAGTTAAAAAGAAAAAGTATAGTGACCTGTTTATCTCTAAAAATATACTAACCTGTTTATCTCTACCTAAACCAAGTGTCTGTCGTAATGTTGGTACGGAGGTGAATGAATTTATACCCACTGCAACGTGTGTTTCATCAGCATCAATTGGTAAGCGCTCAATAAGTGAGAGAGCTAATTCACGTTGATGCTCGAAAACTTGCTGACGACTGGTTGATGCATCCAAAATTATTTCTAAATCCATCTTCGAATATTTGCATCTACAAAGATAGAAATCTTCTGATATATTCAATTTTTTACTTTTTATTATGAAAAGAGATATGATCACTAATAAATGAAATGATACTTTTTTGATTCCAGTGATTTTGCGATACGTGTTTCTTCCATAGATTTCTCACTTATAGCTAAAGTGTTATTATTAAAATTATTTAGGGTAATCAATCCTTCTCTTTCATCAAAATGATTCTCTTTCATCTCATTACTGCTATTTCTTTGATTGGCTTCATCTATAAGAATCCTGCAATAATTCTTATTAAATTTCATATATTTTTGAGTACTTTTTCAAGAATGATTTTCTTATAATTTACCTTTTTTTCAATGAATTGCTATTTACTCCTTCTACTAATGCATGCTTTACTGCTGCCCTTTCACAATTCAAAATCACATTACTAATATCCTGAAAATATATTATCATCATCCTCAATAAAATTGGTTTTTTTAGTGTTTAAAAAAGTATTACTTAATATTAAATGTGTATTACTGGTACAGTACGTAAATAGAAAAAATAATTGATATATGATTATACCTCAGTGAAATTATTCACTCTATCACCAACGTATACATGTGCTGCATTTCCCGTGTATTCCATCACCTCATCTACCTTGAAGCGGGTCATCGCATAAATTTCTCCACCTGTTTCGCGCAATTTCAAAGCTGCTTTCTGAATAATGAACTATTAAATTAGTAGCTACTTCTAAGTGAAAATGTATGTTAAAATCTAACAAACAATATCATTGAATGTGCACTTTTAAAATATTTTTCCACTTCACTAGCGTGTGCCAAAAAAAAGCATTTAAGAATGATTACGAAAACTCAATTCAAGTTAATTATTTTGATTTAAAAGCTATAACGGATGTGAAAGTTGGTTCAGATCATACCTGAGCAACTTGTTGTCTATCTTGATTGTTACCGTTGGAAAAAATAACGATAACCAATCGAGCTGAAGATCGTCGACTTGAAGCTATCTCTAGCAATGCTGTTTCTACAGCTGCAGCTAATGATGAAGTTCCACCTCCAGTTTGTTCTAACCGTTCCAGCTTATACAGTATATCCTCTGGTGTTTGCTTTATTTTAAATCCGAAATGCACTTTTCCCCCCATAATATTGAACTTTATCACTGCTACTGTCAATCGATCCTGAAAATCGATTATTGCATGTGAAAGACAGTTTGCGCTAGCAAAAAAAAAAATATTAATTGTGCAATAACGATTATTGAAATATTGAAATTAAAATTTTTGACAACATTTAATCTAAAAGTGAAGCAGAAAAGATACCAAAAAATCTTCTAACGGGATCATTTTAATCAGATCCATTACAAAAGCCTTTTGACTATTGAAGTAAGTTTCATTTGTAGTTGAAGTATCGATGATAAATAATAAGTCGACATAGTCATCTTTGCAAGAGTGTGCACTGAAATACAGTTGAGAAATGTGCAGTTAATACAAGAGAATACATCTTTAAAGTCTTTCATGCAGTAACAAATTCTTTATTGCAAATGCAATCTCTGTAAAAAAATTGAACAATTTGTAAAAATTAAAATTTCATCAAATAAGCAAAACATAAAAACCTTATTGATTCTATTGAAGATTTTCGTCTTATCAATTCTTTTTCTTCGATCAATTTTTTGTTCACGTCATTTGATAATACATGTCCTATCTGTAAAAAAAATTAATCATTTTCTATTCCAATTCATATAAAACTTATGTTATTCATTTTTTTCTTTACATTTGAATACTTTCATAGTCTATTAAGCAATGCGTAGCAATCAACTAGCTGATTATTATATCTCCAAAATGATAATTGCTCGAAAATTAAATTATTGACTGCTCTTCCATTAATTTCTGATTAAATTATAGATAATTCAGTAGACTGTAAATGAAAACACATAATTTAGCATTAAAAAAAGCGAATTTAGTCGACATGGTCTCGTTTTTTATCACTTACTTATTGTACCTGATATTATCACTCTTTTCCTTATATTTCTATCTATCTTTCATACCTCACATACACACCATACAGACACGCACATACACATACACAAACACACACACACACATTCTTAGATCAGTTCTCGTTGCCTCACTGATATTGCTATCACTATTTTCAGATTGTGCATTATCCGATTGGTTCATTTTTTTTCGATTAAAAAAATGAAATGGAAGAGAAGAAAGGCGTACTTCTAGAGGTAATGACGAAATTGGCACAGATGGGTTTTGACATTTAAGCAATGATAATGTAGCATCGTCCAAGAATCGCTTTTCTCGAGCATCCACATATACCAGCCATTTACTTCCCGTGTATAATTCCAATTCCCTGCAACTCTTATAATCACATATTAACTTAGAATTACTAATAAGTGTCTTCTGCAAAATCTTCACATAAAAAGCTAAGCATGCATATCATGTTAATTAATTATTAATCATTTATCATTTTCTACCATTTATGCTCATTTTCTTTCATCATCATATTATAAAGACTCAAATCTTCTTTTCAAATCATTTCAGAAAAGGCACTAAACTCTCCTTTTCCACATTTCTTTTTCAATCATTTTATTTTCTACCCACTATTCTGCCAGATTTATATTGTCAGCGTAGATACAAAATAAAATCATCGTCTGGAAGCTGTAAATTTATTTCTTTTAAGAAAACAGATTAAAAAATTTACCTGAAATAGTAATCGTGATTAGCAGTAATTGCATAAACAATAGCATTAGTAGCACGAAGACGATCAGCAGCATCTAAAAGATCCTCCCAACGATCCTGACTGTGACCATCCGATATGAGTACAATCATTCGTCTGTAAACAATTTTATTGGTACTTCAAAAATATGAATTATTTCGGAATGAACATAAACATGCCACTTTATTTCTACTTTTTGATATAAATCATCTTATAAACATATCACTCATATGATATTAAAAAGCAAAAATAGCTTTTATAATGTTTATTTTTAAAAAATTTATTAAAAAATTAATTTTTTGATGAATGATAGTATAAATCAACTTGGAAAATTTGATCAGGCAATATTATAAGACAATAATAATAATACTTAATTGTTCGTTCTCTTTTGTAAAAAAATTATTGAAAAGATAAATTGCCAGAGAAGCAGCAAAACAGAAATAATTTTATATAAATATTTTCACAAAGAGTTTTTAACTTACCTGACACCTTCTCTTCCTCTTTCCTGAATCTCTTTGATAGCCAAATTAATACCACTTATTGAAGATGTACCTCCGCCAGAATGTGGGAGAGAAAGTAAAGCGTTTATTATCTGAATTGAATAATCTTTCTTTTTTTTACCATTTTATAAATATCATCAACAAATAGGCAATGAAATTCTCGAAGCATACCTCTATTCGTCTATTAAATTCATCAAATCGAAAATTGATCTCAGCATGTGAACTGAATGATATAGCAGCAACTCGAATGCGACGATTGAAAGCTGATGATGGAATTCGTTTTAACTAAAAATGACTAATTTAATATCTATCTTATAGTTATATAACTTTCGAAACTTTCAGGATCTGAGATTTCCTTCTCCATTTTTTGATATTCTGTTATAGTATCGCTTTTTTCTTTTCTCTCTCTCTCTCTCTTCTTAATTTTTGAAGAGCATCATTTGATCCCTCACTTATTCTACTAAAATGAATTTACATAAATTGTAATTGGCCAAATGTTACTGTAAAATGTTATAGATAAATTAAAAGAGTGAGACCAGTGCAGTAGCAAATTCCAATTGTTTCTGGAAGGCTTTTTCAACGCTTTGCGATGTATCCATAATAAATATAAGATCGATCAGACAGTTTGGATCTTCTTTTTCAGCCTGTAAGTAATATACTCAATTTTGAAATTTAATATCACAAATGATACAACCTTACAACTTTATGTCAGATATTTGTAATTGTTTAGAAAAATGACTAATCTTGGATAACTCAGCTGAGATATCTCGGAATATCAAGTATGTACGAGTATGTGCAAATTATTCTCTGAGCATGGTAACAATCAAATTGATACTCAAAAAGAAGCATCAAAATTGGTCCTTCAATATTTTTTCACTTCACTTAAAAACTTCAAAACTTTTTCGCTTCAAATGGCGGCCTACTTATACACATCCTTTGAATTTGCCGAGACATCATGATATTTCATTAAAATTTCTCTTCAAAAATGATGTTTAATTTGCATAACCTCGGAGTTGATCGCTGTAGGAGGATGATTGAAGTTAACGAATGCATGGCGTGTTTCATTTACCTCAGTTGATTTCACCGTCAAATCAGGTTTGCTTGTTGCTTGAGGTTGATTCAGAGATGCTTCAAATTTCAAAAAAAAATAAATGACAAAGTACTAATAAAAACGTGTTAAATCATTAAAAAACACTAACCATTCAAAGGTGTCGTAACTTTTTCATCAGAAGGTTGATTTATTTTTCCTACTTTTATAAAATCCTTGTTCACTGAACTGCTATCATCCAAAAGTATGTAATTTGCGATTTTCTGCAAGATATAAATAAATAAATCAAATTTGAAGTTGTCGCACCGCTTCTTTTTTTCTTTTTTAAATTCAACAAGAAAAATGCTACCTTTTTGTAATTTTTGACATTGGTTATTAATTTGCTCGAATTACCAGCATATAACAAAAGTTCATCCATCAAATATTTGTTGGTGATCGGAATGATATATATTTCTGCGTTCGTTTCTAAATAGAGTAGAATGATAAATAAATTCATCTGAATTAAAGACAAGGAATTAAATAAATCACATCCACAATTACTACAGATAATGGTCACTTCAATAAGTTTCAATTTAAGAAAAGAAAATCGAAAATTTCAAAGTTAAAATTGTTTTCTTGTTGATTTTCAAAATAAAACTAACGTTGAAGTTTAGCAGCAGTAATAGAAGCAGTTTGCATGGAATCTTGGGTACTACCATCCGTGAGAATTACAAAAATATGTTTCCGTGAATGTTCACCAGGAACGTTTATTTGTTGCAATGCAACATTTACCGCTAAAACACAATAGAAATTGTCTTTGAATTTGAATCATTTAATCAATTTCTATCTGTTTTAAAAAATTAAAATAATAACGAATTTTTTATCTTTTAATTACAAATACATCAAATGGTAGCATATCAAATCTTGTAAAATGTAGCGGTAAAATTGATTTCTTTAAAATTAAAAAATTCATTAGCCTATCCTCGAATAGCAGCTGCAAACCAGTTTAACAAAATTTGTTATTTAAATAACATAGAATAAAAAGCTTAAGAATCATCTTGGTTATAAATTTGCGACTTCAATTTCTCAATTTTAAAGAAATCAATTGAATTAAATCTCGATTATAAATTTGCGGCTTCAATATATTTTCTAAACATAGTGTAATATGTTTTTAATTTACTACCGATTAATTGTATATTAAATATTATAAACTTATTTCAATACTTTATGGCTCGAAACTGGAACCAAATTTTAAAACTTATCTTGAATATTAAAGAATGAAAGAAGTCAAATCATTTTGTAACATCGATTATATAATTAATTCATTATTCCAAACTAATTACACTGATTTTTTTACTCGTATATTCATTATATTCTCACATTTTAATTAAAAATATGGAAGAGATCAAAATTGCCACAGTTAGGAAGTCATTATCCACCTGAGCAGAAATTGAGCAACAAATATAAATTGTTACATTCTTAGTGTATCATCAAATTCCACCCATTTATACTGTAAGCTTGAGGTTTCAATCATTAATTACCTTCGGATACAGATGCATTACTGTATTCATTTTGCAGTTTTTCCAAAGTATACAGTACATTTTCTTTTGTTATTGGCTTTCTCAGTTCGATTTCAATGTGAGCATTATCGGTGAATGTTATAAGCGATATTCGGATTCGTGCTTTGAAATCAATGTTTCGAATTAACTCTTCCAGAAATCTTTTCGAAGCTTCAAAATCATCATCAGCTGCTGTTGATTTATCCATCAAGATGATAAGATCAACGAAATCTGTAATATTATAGGTGATTTACTTTGACATGTAGTATTCCTTGTTAAATTCAACTTTTATAATCACAAATGGCGATATTTTTCTCTAATTGCTTTTTATGATTTTTCCAGAAACAGCCATTCACCTATCATTTATTTTATCTAACAAGCAAATCGATACTTTTTGAATTGTAGATATGCTATAAGATATAAGAAATCTTTTTAGTATTCAGTTGGTGATAATCAGGTTTTTCTTTAGGTACATCTTTTCACAAACTTGAACTAATATCAATTCTGCGCAGTAAAAATTTTGAAATGACCACAAAATAATTTAAACTTTTTAAGTAAACAATCAAATATTATAATTTTGCACTTTCATATGAGCTTTCATAAAATGACATAAAGTCATAAAGATCTGTGACTGTAGAATACTGTAGAAGTACTGCAGAAGCAACGTTGCGGATACTGTAACGTAGTATGATTATTTGCAGCGATAATATGCATGCATGCAAACAGCACCAATATCAAGCATAGTGTAAATGCAGTTTTAAAATGAATGAATGCACAAATTTTGCATATAGTTAATAATAATAATTTTGATGATAAAATAAATATTAATTGATACCGTTGTGATTCTGAATTGATTTAATGATTGGAGAAGAAATGATATCAACAAATGTACCATTTTCATTAGCCACTTTCTTCAAGAATTCCTTACCTGAAATTAAAAATTATCGCTTTTACAATAACTAATTATCTTTAACTTCTTTGTTAAGAGACGAATTTAGGAATGGAAGAAACTACTTACTTGCATCAGTAACGAAGCGTCTAGTACGTCCATCCACGTAAATCTTCCATTTGTCTTTCGTGAAAGCTTCCAGCACGTTAAATGCATACTGTTTACTAGTTGTTAATGCATAAGTAATTGTTTCTTGCAATTCATATAATTTTCTAAAATGTTTTATCAATTCCGTTATTTTCTTCTAGAAACCTGTCACAATTCAATGAAAACAATCAACATAGCTAATATGATTGTGTTGAAACAAGAAGACAAACTTGGCAGCTTGCATGATAGAATGCCATAAATCTTGAGTATTACCATTAGAAGCCAGAATAATTATGAGTCGAGCATTTGAGCGTCGAAATTTCCGAGCATACTGTAACAATGGTTACGATCAAAAAATAAACATTGGCATATCTAATTTTGAAATTATGTGAAAATATTCCAATTTGTTAACAATTCAAATTTATCATTAAAATTTCACTGAAAAACACTGTAAGTAAGCAATACAAAACCTGAGTTGCAAATGTGATTCCAGTTACTGTAGAAGGATTACCGACTGTATATTTGATGGATTCGAAGTGTTGTAAAATTTGCGTTTTAGTTGTTGCATTTCCCCATTCTAAATGTAATCGTGCTTCCTAAATATTATTATTTATTATCATTTATATAATTTAGCTTTCGCAATAAATTCAATGTCATGCATAAGCAACTCTCGATGTTCACTTAAGCGTTAAATATGAAATAATGCATAAATACCAACTTCAGTGAATGTTACAACAGCTATTCGGATTCGTTCTTCATTAATATCTTCATCGGTTACTTTATTAATCAATTCTGTCATTAATTTTAATTGATTTTTCAAATCAGTGGACGAATCTGGCGAGAGATTGATAGCAAAAAGAAGATCAAAATAACCATCTTGTGGAGAGATCTAAATTACTTGTAGCTATTAGTTATTATCAAATAGCGTTGAATAAATGACTTGATTAAAAAAAAAAAAAGTTATACCAATAAATTGAAAGATACTGACATGGAAAGAAATAATTGACATAATACCTTGACTGTAATGTTCTCCTCACTTTCTTTTTCGATAGGTTTATTTTTGATTAATTCCTTTTCCAGGTTTCTCTCCAGTTTTGCACTCCCTTCACTATTTGCTAGCAATCCAATACCCCTTGCTTTAGACATACTGATCATATCAATTGGAGAATTCAAATCATCCAATGAATTTGCAAAAGTTGTCAAATTTAAATTGGCTTTGCTGAATGATTCAATCTCTGCTAGCAGCTTCTCTGATGCTTCTTCCTTATGCTCTCGAAGTATTTGTGCTTTCGTTTTCACACTACTTATAGAATCACTTTGGGGAACATTTGATTTTGGCTTAGTGACGATTGTTACGTATGGTTGCGATAAGTTTGTTGCTCGTACACATTCATTAATTAGAAACGAAATAATGCTAACAAATCTGAAGAGCACAATATTTTCAGATGAGATATGATTTTTTTCAAGCATAATTGAAACAATAATGTCAATGTAATTATCGTTCCGTAACGATTACAGTAGAACGGCAGATTGCGGAACGATTTTACATGTACCAAAAGATTACACCATCTAATATGAAATATAAAACAATTTAGTAATTGCTTAAGAATATTTTCTTCTCATAGATTTTATCCAGAATTTATTGATAAAAAAAATACAGATACTTACTGATTTTGTTCTGCTCCAAGATAGATTCGTTTCACATCACCTGTATAGAGTGTTAGCTCGTTTAAGTTATAATCTCGACTAATTGGCACAGCAAAGACTTCGACATTTGCATTTTGTAGTTTTTTGCCAGCAGTTTGCACTACATGCCAAAGCTCTTGTCCATTTCCATCCGATATTAAAATTAATATCTGTAGCAGATAGTTGGAATTATAAATAAGTTGTAGTTCAATTTTATTTATATAGTGCCAACATTCATTACAATCATTATTCTTTGAAACATCTTTCATTACCACTCTTTAATATTTAGAAAAACGTGTAATTAAATACTTGAATTGCATCGCTCCTTCGCCAACGTGATAAATCTGCCAGAGTCAAATCAATAGCGCTTGCTATTCTTGTACCGCCACCGGTAAATTTAATTTTATCCAATGCTCCAATAATTTCATTAGGAGTTTGATTAATCTTAGAAGGAATTACTATTTCAGCTGAAGATGCAAAACGCACCACAGATACCTATAATGGGTGAATGATTTGAATTACAGGTGTATCAGAAGTGACCATATATACCTGTTATTATTTATAGATGAAAAATAACGCAATTCAGTGATAGAAATAGAAGAAATGAAATACCTGAATTCGTCCATCTTCTATTGCCTTTGCTGCCAATGAATTAATTAGGTCATGTACTAATCTGCGTTCACCTTCGAATGCATTAAAAACTGAACCACTTGAATCCAAAACCACCATCAGGTCTACCTATAAAAGTGAATATTTATCACTTCAGTTCACATCATGAATACTCAAAACTAACCTTATTAGCTTTGCATATCTTCTCCAAGCTTAATTTCTTTTCTAATTGCGCTTCTTTCGCTTTATGTCCTCGAATTTCAAATGCTATTGCTTCTTGGAAAGTTGCATTGTTAATGGTGATATTTCCATCCAATAATCCAGATATATGCGCACATGGATCAGCCGCCTATATTAAATATTTTCATGTTTCATGAAATCAAAACTAACCTGTAAAATCACAATCATTACTTTCCATTATCGTATATTTTTCAGATGTATAGCATTTCAGTTCACAATTTATAATTCACAAATTTGTATTAGCTATTCGTTGTGTAGCAAATTTCAGATCATATTTTGATTCATTTTTATTAAACGAAATTAGCGTAAAAATTATTCCATAAAATGAATAATCAGTACTACTGCTACTAAAATTGTAAATTGTTTGTGATAAAAAAGAAAACTATTGGTAATAAACAATTAATAATAGTAAATGATAATAATTAATAATGATAATAATAATGACGA